AGAAGAGCAAAACACTGCTCTGGAGGCTTTTCTCAGAGGAAAAGATGTTTTTGCTCTTCTCCCGACTGGTTTCGGCAAGAGTAGCCTGGCTTGTGGTTGTGTTTTCGTCGTCGCTCTGTTAGTACGTCATATGCTTCGTTGATCTGATTGGTTTATTTGGCTATCACCAACATAGGCCAATCAGCTAACCAGTATTTTTGCCCCTTCCCAAAATTAATTCAAGGGAAGGTTTCCAGATGGATATGCGGAGCAAATCCATCTGGCGGAGTCAGGTTAGTCCTCTCCATCTTTAAAAAAAATGTACATGCACAACTCTGTACTCGCTCCCAAGAGGTAACGCCTAATAAACGCGTGTGAGAGTGTACACGAGCCTATTTCTCCTCATCCTCTTCTGAGGCCTCTCTTTTCTTCTCATACACTTCGTAGACACTTTTTCTCTAACGACCCTCAGCCATTTTCAAAGAACCGCAGTAAGAAAGGTGAGCTTCAATGACTGTCTGAAACTGTAGTTCACCATAGATATACGGCTGAAAGTGCACATGCACAGAAAAAGATAGCTAACTGGGGACGAACACGTAGGACTGCCTTACATAACAATATCACCAGAATGATTGACAATTAGGAGGACCACTTATTTAGATGATCCACCTGGAAATAAAAGATTGTCCTCTATACCTTTAAGGAAGGGCTCTCTACCGAAAGCAAAAGTGCATCAGCTGCTGCCATTATTAGTGCTGGCATTAAGAGTGGAGGTAGGAAAAGCAGCCAGTATGCTTCCCATCATGTTTTTTTTAACATAGGCAGATTGCAACATTTTAATCTGTTGCATCAAATAATGTATAAACATGGCTAACCAAACAAAAATCAACAAAAATACATGCTTGCTTTTGGTGAACTATGTGTGACGTAAAGATGTACATACCGTAATATAGTTTGTGGTGAAAGGGGAAGGAATAGAAGATGGTTACCTCAAACAATAATATCATAGTATGGGTGGTATGCATAAAAGGATGGGCAGCGGCACAAAGTTACTTTGGAACGCTTAAAAAGGTATGATGTAGGCCCTTTAATTTTTTTCTTTTTTTTTCTCCGATTTCTTCAGTTTATGTAACCATTAAATGTGGTTAATATAATAACATTTTATAATAAAGTCTGTTGTTTCTTCCAGCCTTGCCTTTGTGAGCGTAGTGGCTGTAAGTTTAATTTTGGGTCATGCAGGATGAGGATCTTGCAGCAACCAAAACTGCCTGATATCGATCTTCCATTTCTCACCTCAGATGCTAAGACCAGCGCCCCCGCGTGGCCGAACCTCAGCACTGCAAGTGTGAGTGGACGCAATTACACCACAGAGGCTCCTGTTATGAGCACCCGGCCACAGGATGACAAACACTCACAAGGTAAGTTAAGTTATTTACAACCTCTACATTATGGAAGAATGTCTAATCTTGAAATAACTGCTGTATTTAAAGCTCCTACAAGTTATTTAGTTATTTCTAAAAACATTTTCATCTTAAGTCTGTCCTTTGATGTAATATTTGTTTATGAAACAATTCAATTTCTTCTTTAAAGAGCATGAATAAAAAAATTTACTTTGTGTACAATGATATTTTCTGGGGGTTTTTTTCTGTTATTTTATGCATGTTTGTTTGTGTTTTTCCGCAAGGGCCCCTGAGTCCTGTGATGCGCAAAGTTTTGGACAAGATTTGTTCCACATTAGTGGAAAAACAGGAGGAACTCAACTCTTTGGATCGGGCTTCTGGGGATGGAGACTGTGGTAACACACATGCTCAGGCTGCCAGAGGTAGGAAAACGGCAAAAAGCCAAGCAAAGAGTGAAAGCAAAACCTGTCCAGTTCATTCCAATAAAAAAAAGCATTATTGAAAATTATTAATCACATAGGGAAAATGTATATTATTTTACCTAATATAAAAAGATTGTCTTCAACAAGTTGTTGTAGATGCTGACAGCTGCAGACTGGAGGGATATCCTGTAGTGGTCTGTCTTACAGCGGCTCTGCAGAAGCCTCTGACTGAAGACACTGTTATTGTCCGACCTCTGAGGAGGAGGATGCTAAAGTTAAAACACGTCAATTTTTTCCTCATACAGCTATTCAAGAGTGGCTCCAGGACCATGTGGTTCCCGGTTGCCCAGGGCGACTGCTTTCGGTCCTTGCTGGATTAGTGGAGGAGAAGATGGGCGGATCCTCTGGAGCGGTACGGCAAGTTGATTTGCAATGTAATCGTTAGACGAGAAATCCAAAGCAGACCTCTTTCAATTATTTCTTTTGAGTAAAAAAGAACAATGAACATCTCATCCACATTTATGTTTAGATGTTTTTAGTTTTTTTGTTCCCATTTTTCTCCATATATTTTTTTTACTGAAAGTTCTATAAACACTCATAGGTTCTTTTGACTTTTTAGGAGAATTCACGGGAAGGGAAAAACTCTAAGAATGCTTAACAACTATGTTGCAAATATCGATTTTTATTAAGAAGGAGTGAGGATTAATACATGAAGCTGAAAGCCTGAAAAAGTCAATACAATTTTGATGTCTTAAACTTTAGTTGGCACTGAAAATAAATGTTTTTGAGTTGAACATTTAAAAAAACTGTATAGCCAAAACAAATACAATAGCTTGAAGTTTGTATTTTTCCTTAAATGAAATAAAAACAGATGGTAGAGTTAGCATAGTAGATAAAAGACCTTTTTAAATGACTTAATAGATATAATCTACTACATTTTAATTTATAACAAGTTTTTTTTTTTTTTTTTGGCTTCTGCTGTTGAGCTGGATGTTATCCTTGGTTTCTATGGTTACAGAGCATGATGTTAATGTTCAAATCCTAAATCAATCTCATCTGATGAAATCAAAACACAGCAAATTAAAATTTAAGGTATAATTAAAAATACCTTTTAAAACTAAGACTTAATGACTTGGAGAATGAGAATGTTATTTAGATATTTTATTTAAGTTGTTAGTAGTAGTATTTTTCGTTAAAAGCTTGAAATGTGTTGCTTTGTATCCAAAAGAAAGTAATAAGATTATGTGGTAAAATAAATGTTGCGTTTAGTATTTATTCAGTGCATTGTGTTCACTCTTCTGTGTCCTTTAGCTTTACAGTCTGTTCCTCACCACGGCTGCTGGTCATGTGACTGAGGGGCGGAGCAATG